GGTGGTGGGAGCCTCTTCCACCTCTGAGACAGTGCTAAGGACCCCTTGGGGGAGGTCCGCCTGCCGGCTTAGGTCTAAGCCGTCAGGCAGACATTCCCTGAGGGTCCCAAACTGTGAGACCCTCCACCCTCCCAGTGCATGAATGTTGTGCACCAGACCTCTAGTAATATTACCTGGCACTTATCAATAGCTTTCCATGTGCTAAGCATTATCCATCTCATCCTCCAAATCACCCCATGCATTGGGCTCTGTTCTCTTTATTTCACAGATAAAAACCTGAGGCATGGAGGTCAAGTCACTTGCCCACGGTCACACAATCCGCAGGGGGTTGGGCTGGCATTCAATCCAGACAGGCTGACTCCTGAGCCCATGCTTCCATCTTGTTTAAACCTTCACGGGAACCCCAAAAGGCCAATTTCAGCACCCCCATTTCACAGGTGAGGAAACTGAGGCCAAGAGGGGCTAAGGAATCTTGCCCTAACATCACTGGGCTCCTTCTTCCATTTCAATCCAGACCTGTGTCATCTCAAAGTCCCCCCAGGGTCCCGGCCTCACAGACCCCAACGTTCTCGAATTGCTATGTGGCACACATTGGGGATTCAGAGGCCACAGGGATGAGATCTCTGCCCTGGAGAAGCTCAGAGGTGCAGGGAAGAGCCAGGATCCATTCATTCCTACATACCCATTCAGTGAGCGCCAGCTACAGGCCGGGCGCTGGGCCCAGCAGCACGAGAGCCCATGTGGGCCCTGCCCTCACAGGCTGCCACGGAGAAGGATCTGAAGCAAGCTGTTTGCCTAGGTAGGTGACTATGTAATTGAAAATGCAGATGCCTAGGGGAGAAAAATGAGAGCACAACGCTCGCTCAAAACAGTAATTAAGGATCAGTTGCCAGCCTCTCCTACCTCTGGGAGCTCACCGGAGAGACTGATGAAATCCAGGAGCAGACAGCAAGGCTGGCTTCTTTTACCTGGACCCAGACACTCACGAAGGACTACTGATGTGGAAGTGTAAGCCAACCCAGCACATTCCTGTGCAGTCACACCTCGGGCAAGGTGCCCCAGCTCTCTCTAGGCTTCCATGTCCTCATCTATAAAATGGGACAGCAGTGCCTGGCCGGTGTGGCTCAGTGGTTGAGCACTGACCTATGAACCAGAAGGTCACAGTCGATTACTAGTCAGGGCACATGCCTGGGTTGTAGGCTTGATTCCCAGTGTGGCCAACCTCCTGTGCCCTGTTTGTCTCTCCAGCCGGCAGGCCCCAAATGGCCTGCTGCTGCCCGCCATGGTGGCGGCACAGCCACGAGGGAAGGAGGAGGGGTGAGGCGGGGAACCATGTGGTGTTGGGGTGCCGATAAAGGTAGTGGTGACATCTGGCGTCCGTTCCTTCTATGCCCAGCCCGTTGACCATTGCTTCTTCTCTGGACCGACCCTGATTGGCCTGGCCCCGATTGGCCCTGTTCACCAGCCAGGCCTAGGGAACCCACCCATGCACGAATTTCATGCACCGGACCTCTAGTAGCTATATAATTAGAATTACATACATACACACACACACACACACACTCACTGACACTCATTCACATATTTGATATTATGTAATCCTTACTCTGATCCTGGAAAAACTATCCTCATCTTTGGGAAGAGGAAACTGCAGCCCAGGGAGGCTCAGAAATGTGCCCCAGGTCACACAGCCTGCAAGCAGTGGAACTGAGATCTGAACCTGGATCCCTGCTCTGACCACCCACTCCACTGCCTCTCTGTGTCACCACAGTCCTCCATGGTCACAGAGATTCTGGTCAACCGCTGCCTGGGTGAGTACTAGATGCCACAACTAGATTGGGTGCCAAACAAATGTGAATTCCCAACCACAGGCTTCAAACTCAAGGCCTTCTTGCAATTGCCCCCCTGGGATGGCTCCCCATCTCTCAACCATTTCTTCTCTCTCACCATCCCATCCAACAAGGCCTGCCACCCACTCCACGGGCACCTTTCCCCACCGCCTTCCTGCCTGCATGCACCGTGTGCCCCTCACTCCACATCCTCTCTCTCCTCTGCGTTCTCTTTTCCTTCAGGTTGTTCTCTAGAGACAAGTGCCATAGAGCAGCTCCGGACTCTCGGAATCCCAGACAGTTGGCGCTGAAAGCAAGCACTTAGCTCAACTCCTGACCTTCAGACCAGGAAACTGGAAGCCTGAGGAGGGGTAACCAATAGGGGCGGCCACAGATGCATTTCAGAGCTGAATCCGTGTTTTTTGAGTCACTTAGCAAGTCTCTTTGTGGATCCCCTTAGGTTTGTGCAGGGCAGTGATTCTCAACCAGGGGTGATTTTGTCACTCAGGGGCATTTGCCAATGTCTGGAGACACTTAAAAAAAAAATGTGTGTGTGTATATATATATATATATATATATATATACACATATATATATATATATGTGTGTGTGTGTGTGTGTGTGTGTGTGTGTGTGTGTGTATATATATATATATATATATAATATATATATATATATATATATTATTGCTTTTTTACAGAGAGGAAGAAAGAGGAATAGAGAGTTAGAACATCGATGTGAGAGAAACATCGACCAGCTGCCTCTTGCACACCCCCTTCTGGCAATGTGCCCTCAACCAAGGTACATGCCCTTTACCGGAATCGAACCTGGGACCTTTCAGTCCACAGGCTGACCTCTATCCATTGAGACAAACCAGTTTTGGCTGGAGACACTTTTGGCTGTCACAACTAGGGAGATGCTACTAAATATTCTACAATGCACAGGACAGGCCTCCCTCCAAAGACTTATTCCATCCCAATGTCAATAGTGCTGAGATTCAGAAAGCCTAGTGGAGGGTAATAAGTTTTTTTTTGCATCATCTTTTGTATATAGAGCAGTTTCCATTACAGGATTCTGTAAGTGTGACAATAAACTGGTGTCTTCAGAAATGAATCGTGAAATGGCTTATTGTGAGCCTGACTTGGATGCAGGGCCTCCCTGACCTCCCCCCTCTTCTCAGCACATTTCCCCCGAAAATCCAAATTCCCTCCCACGGGCTTCAAGTCCCCCGATTGATGTTTGTCCTTTTCTTTGGTGTATAAAAAAAGATGGACAAATTGAGACTTTTGAATCAAAGCAAATGATACCAAGATCTCCACGCAGCTTTCTAAGGAAAAAAATTATATCACTGCAGCAAATGGAACATGTAATGCTTGCAAAGTTCCTAGGAGAAATGTTTGTCCAAAGATGGTGCCCACTTGCTGTTGCATGCCGCCACTGAAGTACAGAAAAGAGCCAGCTCATTAAACCGGCCTCAGGTAAAGTGAACAAGAGGTGATTTCACATCCTCCTCCCGGCCAATTGTTTCTGCCTCGTGTGAGACACTAAGGGGCCTGGAACCTTTCTTTTCTTATAAGTAAACTAGAGGCCTGGTGCACGAATTCATGCACGGGTGGGGTACCTCAGCCTGGCTGATAATTGGGGCTCATTGGGCCCTCTTGCCCGGTTCAGAAAGGGGCCAGCCGGCCAAGGAGGGTGGGGGTGGGAAGGAACTGTGGAAGGTTGGCTGTGGGAGCACACTGGCCACCAGGGAGCAGCTCCTGCATTGAGCGTCTGCCCCCAGTGGTCAGTGTGCATCATAGCTACCGGCCAGTTGTCTGGTCATCTGGTTGTAACTGTCTCTTAGGCGTGTGTGTGTGTGTGTGTGTGTGTGTGTGTGTGTGTGTGTATCCTGTTAGTGGCAAAACCTACTGTGTTTGCCATTTCCCCACAATAGAATTCTGTGTCTGTTCAAATATGTGAATTTTTTTTTTTTCAAATGCAAGGGCTGCAAACACCCAGGATAATGAAATTAGGTGTACTCACATTTGACTGTTGTCAGGTTATTTTGAGTAGAGATAATGAAGCAGTGTTACATATTTCTGAATTGGGCATCACGGCTTATTTCAAGAGTTGAAAATAAGACTTTCCTTAGAAAAAGGAGTCACCCTGATTTTGACAAGCCCTTAATGAATATCCATTTTTAGCAAAGACTGGTGGTTGTCCTCCAGAATCCTTTATCTCCTTTATGTATTGTAGGACTTGAATTTTTGCTGGGTACATGGCTGCCCAGGTAAAGACTACATTTCCCAGGTTCCCTTGAAGCAAGACATGACCACATGATTGAGTGCTGACCAATAGGGAGTGAAGGGAAATTATGCATGCAGTCTCCGGAGTGGGCATATCCTTCTATTTTCCCTCTTCCCACTAGGTCCTGGTGGGTGGGGTCAGCCATATTAGGCCACTTGAGGGATGGCAGAGCAACAAAGGTAAGGTGCCTGGATTCCTGACCTGGAGTTCCATAACAGCCAGGACTGCTTATAACTGGATTGTTACATGAGGGAGATTTTTAAACTCTTGTCTTAGCCACAGGTATTCTGCATGTATGTTATGGCCAATGAATCCATATCCCAGTTAATCCATTTCACAAATGAGTTTTAAGTTGAATCACTGCAGTGAATCGCTACATATATGCTGGCTATTGTGCTAGGTGCTGGAGATTCAAAGATGAACACATACACACACCATCTTGCAAGGAATTCTAGAAAGAACTGATGGTGTTCTTTATAACAATTTTCACAAATAAACATACAATTCCTGAGGTGGAAGGGCAAAATTCTCAGATAATCCCCCAGTATATTTTCAGAAACATCAGCCTCATAAATGCCCTATATCAGGTCTGCAATTTTTTTTTTTTCTGCAAAGGGCCAATTAGTAAATATTTTAGGTTTTGTGGGCCATATAGTCTCTGTCATAACTCAACTCTGCCACTGTCGTGTGGAAAGCAGCCACCAACAATACTAACCACATGGGCGTAGCTATTTACTCAGCAACTTTCTTTACAAAAACAGGTAGCAGGTGGTTACAGTTTGCTGACCTCTGATCTATGGTAAAAGGTTCCAATAGGATAACATTCTCTTTGGGATTTAAAAGAAACATAGGATGTTAAAAGCACTAATTTAAGAAGAAAAAAAAAAGCCTACTTAACTTTATTTAAGCCAGTGTTTTCCACATTTACTGAACCACTTAACGATCATTTAAATAATGCTTCTTAATATCCTGGAACTGGACTTCTGAATGTGCTGCTGCCAACACCAACTAAATAACTTTCGTTGATAATGAATTATTTGAGGGACACATAAAATGTAAAGTAAAACAGTGACCACCTACATGCTCAGCACCCAACCCACCAGAAAAAACCCCCAAAAACGTTACAGGTGTAAAGGCCTCTGCATCCTTCCTGACTCCATTATCCCTTCTACCTTGAGATGACCATCTCTCCTGAACTTGACCTTTGTCATCCCTACGCAAGCTTTACACTTTTTACTACATTTTGAACTCCTAATAATACATGGACTGCCTTGCATGTTGGTAAACTTTATGTAAATGTCAGCATATTACACAAATCCTGCCCTCCGCCTGCTTTTGTTCCTGCACAATACTATGTTTCTGGGGTTTAGCTGTGTAATAGCACGTAGATCTATTGTAGTTCAATCATTTTCATTGTTACTTGGTATTCCAAGTATGAACATACCATAATTTATTTATCTGTTCTCCTGTGTACGGACAGCTTCTCTCCTTTTTCTTTTTATTTGTTTTTCTAGTACAAACACTGCATCTATGAACATCTTTGTACGCGTCTCTTTATTTCCACATGCAAGAGTTTTTCTAGGGTAGAGGCCTGCATATACAATTGGGTGTTTGCAAGTTTACTTGAAAGAGGATCTGGAATCCCCTCCAGTGATGTTGGAGAGTCCCTACTACTCTCTCTTTGCTCAACTCTGATAACAGACTTCTATCTAATGGGCTTGAAATGTGTCTTGGGTGTGGTTCTGATCGCATTTCCAGGATTACCAGCGAGCTTGAGCCCTTTTCACATATTTCTCAGAATATTTCTATGTTAAGTCTTTGCAGGGATCTTGGCCACTGGACAATGGTGAGAATGCTAGATCTGTGGTCAGCAAACTGCGGCTCGCGAGCCACATTTGGCTCTTTGGCCCCTTGAGTGTGGCTCTTCCACAAAACACCATGGCCTGGGCGAGTCTATTTTGAAGAAGTGGCGTTAGAAGAAGTTTAAGTTTAAGAAATGTGGCTCTCAAAAGAAATTTCAATCGTTGTGCTGTTGATATTTGGCTCTGTTGATGAATGAGTTTGCCGACCACTGTGCTAGACTGACACAAAGGCTGACATGATCCGAATTCCTCAGACCATCTAAGGCTGTGGGCCGAGTCTTTCAAGATGGACCCGTGGACCTTGTTCAGAAGTGACTTTCACATTTCCAACGCTGACTCTTTGATTAGAGCAACTCTTTTAGTAGAGAGAACCTGGGCCATAGAGTCAGGCAGACTGGGCTCAAATCCAAGACGGGGCACATTCTCCATGTGACCACAGGCAGGCCCCCTAACCTCCTGGAGCCCCAGGAAAAGGGAAATAAAGTTCCTCATATGGTTGGAGGGTAACTGAGTGGAACCGGGTGTGAGACGCACCCAGGGCAGTTCTGGCCCACACAGCCTCTCAACTATTAGTTCCCGGTGGCATCTTGTAAGATACAGGAGAGGGCATGGACCGAAGCTCCACTTATTTCCTTTGCCGTCTACATGCCTCAGTTTCCCCACAGGTAAAAGTGGCATTGCATTTGCATATCTGACATCAGACCACACAATGGACCACCCATCTTCAGAGCTAGGAAGGACTTTGTCAATCACCCAGGCTGATGGTCCTTAGCCTTTCACAGGGCGGTTTAATGACCCGATGGAGGGTGTTCATTTGTGAGGACTAAAACTTTCTGAAGGATGGGACTCATGCCTCCTCTGTTACCCTAATGCCCTTTGTCCTGGCCTGAACCAAGTGCTTTATACTGAGCACATGCCTTTGTACTAAGTACTGGTTGCTTACTAATTGCTAAGAGAATATAATGTTCCTGAGTAACTAATATTGTTTTATATTATTATTATTAAATATATTATTAAAAAATAATGATATTATATTTTTTAATAAAAATAAGAGAGGAAGGAAGAAGGGTAGGGAGTTAGAAACATCAATGAGAGAGAAACGTTGATCAACTGCCTCCTGCACAACCAAGGCACATGCCTCTGACTGGTATCAAACCTGGGATTCTTCAGTCCGCAGGCCGACACTCGAGCCACTGAGGCAAACCGGTTTTGGCTATTATTTTATTTTAAATAAAAAAAATATTTGTGTTGATTTTAGAGAGGAAGGGAGGGAGAGATAGAAACACCAATGATGAGAGACTCATTGATTGGTTGCCTCCTGCAGGCCCTCTACTGGGAATCAAGGCCACAACCTGGGCATGTGCCCCATGGGAACCGAACTGTGACCTCCTGGTTCATAGGTCGATGCTCAACCACTGAGCCACACCAGCCGGCCATAAGTAATATTTTTAATTAGAGTTTAGGAGGTATACTGGCAGATGAGTAAGTAAACATCGTGGGCAGAAATTTAACAGACTCAAGAGTGCCCCTCTCCTGCCGCCCCAATCTCCACTCCTCTGGAAGCAAATCCCATATGATAAATGACACACCCTCCACCTGCCAGCCTGAATCGGAAGCCCCGATTTGGCACCGAGCCCGAATGCCATTGAAGATGCAGTTCTCTGTGTTGCTGCACAGTGTGTTTCTGTTTTGCTTTTAACACTTTGGAAGCTCAGAACCAATTCCAAGTGTTGGCAAACTGTCTGTCGCCTGCAATCTGGTTCCCGCCCATAGCAAGCTGGGGAAACGGCTGCTGTGAAGGGCGCCGATGGCTCCCTCCCTGCCAAGTCCAGGGCCTCCTTTCTGTTGGCATCTTTCCTGCTGGCGTGGCAGTCTGGGATTCTGGGATCCCTCCAGCTATCTTCTCCCTCACTTGCCTTGGGCTTTTCTCTGACCTGGGCCCCTTTTCTAGCATCTTCCCCATCGCTGTCCCCATTGCTTCTGCCTCAATCAGCTGTCCTCAGCTCTCACCCGGATTCCTGCCACAGCTTCTGGACTCCAGAACCTCTTTCTGGCCGCCACCAGAACCTCTTTCTAAAATACAAATCTCACGTCAATTCTCTGCTTAATTGACACAATAGTAATAATTAATAATCTGGGATGCTCCCACCTCCTGCAGGACTGGTCAGAATTCCTGGGTATGGCAGGAAAGACACTCCTGGGATGAATTTAGGCCAGGGCCTGGCCACACACGCAGAGCCGTGTTGGTTGAACTCCATGCTCTGGGTTCGAAATCCTTATGTTTCCTCCAACACACATCCCCACCTTGAGGCCTTTGCATAGGCAGTTCCCTCTGTGCAGGCTTTTCCCAATGCCCTCCCTCTCCCCCTCCTCTCTTCCCCTCTTCTACCTGCTCAATCTGTTTATTCTGCAGGATTCAGATCGAACTTGCATTTCTAGCTCTCCCAGACCTAGAGGTTGACCGCTTTTATAGTAGAGCAGTTATCAGACTTTTTCTGTAATCACTTCAACCCCTCTGCCTGCACCTTACCCCTACACCCCACCCAGGCTAACTCTAGCAGGCCAGCCACACAGCAGGCACTTGGTAGGGGCCTGCGGAATGCAGGGTGCCTTGCCAGCTCGGCTCCTGGCCTGGCCCTGACACTGCTTGGGGAGGACGGCTGAGCCCCAAAGTGGCTCTCCTGGGACAGGGAGAGGGCCTTTTCCTATCTTCCAGGAGGCGCTAATGCACTGACACAGGACAGCGGGGTCACCAGGGCCCGCAGTGTGGCCTGCACGTCTGTGGAGATGAAGACGGGCTGGCGTCCATGTGTGCGGCAGTGCAGCCGGAGCGGCTTGGGGAGCCCACGGCCAGCCAAGGACAAGGGCACTCAAGGGCAGAGGAGACAGTGGCTCCGAATGGAGAGCCTGGGAGCCTTCCCAGGCCCCATGGAGCCAGGCCCAGACCCAGGCGCTCCGCCTCTGCAGGTGGCTGTCTGCGGGAGAGAACCAGAGGCCCCCGGTCTGAATCCAGGGGTCGAGGTGGACGTGACCTAGGGCAGTGGTCGGCAAACTCATCAGTCAACAGAGCCAAATATCAACAGTTTGACGATTGAAATTTCTTTAGAGAGCCAAAATTTTTAAAACTTAAACTATATAGGTAGGTACATTGTTATTAACGTAATTAGGGTACGTGGTATTTTATGGAAGAGCCACACTCAAGGGGCCAAAGAGCCGCAGTGTGCTGGCCACTGACCTAGGGAAATGGCTGGCAGGGATGTGGCTCAAGACCTGTCTCCCACCCCCAGTCAAATTCACACATGACCCTCTACCCACGAAGGAGTTGTCACCGAGACTTTACAGGGTGGGAGGTGGGTGGAGTGACTTGCCCAAGGTCACCTTCCAGAAAGCAGCAGACCCAGGTGGCAGCAACTCGTGTGGGGCTTGGTCCTTAGTAGCTGCTCAATAAATATAACGAAAGAGCGAGGGGATGAATACAACGACCCAGGTCTCCTGAGTCCCATCCTGACACCCTCTGTATCTTACTATCTCCACACTTATCCACCTGGGACCACTCAAAATCTGATTTGAATTTAGTCTAAAAAAGATTAGCCATTTATTTCCTGGAGGGAGCTCGTGGCTCTAACAACCCCCAAATCCTGAGAGTAGGTACTGTTTATCAGCTACGATAGGATCTGGGGATAGCTCTTACTGCTATTATTTGAACACAGCCTCATTTTGGAGTAGAAAAACTGCCTCTTACCAATATGAGGACAACAACAGTATCTACTCTTTGAATTTCTAAAATGTTCTAAAACCAATTAATGAAACAAACAAACAAAAAAAAGGTACAAACCCTGCCAGTGTGTATTATTTGTTCTTTTCCTTATTTTTCTCCACCTCCCAAAAGACAGGGGGAAACCACAAGGCCACGTTTCCCAGGTGCAGACGATCTGATGATACGTTAATTCAGGAAGAATAAATGGGCCGCCCCTTACACATTGCAGCCGCACCCAATGGTATTCCTTTTGAATGAACCTGATGGCTACGGTGAGGCTTTCCTGCAGCCGAACAAAGACCAAAGAAGAGTTCTGGCAGCATTTGCCCAAGGTCACTGTGAACATCAGTGGCAGCACTAGCATCAGACCTGGGAATCCCTGACTCTGGTCTCCCTTCCCGGCTGCTTCCCCCCCAGGCAGGTAATTATATGTGTTAACTGTTACTGACACTCTGGCAAGTCCCAAGTTCCTGCATTTGTTAGACTGCCAAGCGGCCCTCACGTTTCTAGGGCTGTTTATTTAGAAAAAGGAGCTCAGCTCTGACTGACTCAGAACTAGGAGCCAGGCTGGCAGCTTGGAGGGTTGGGAGGGTTGAGAGACAAGGAGACTGTTTTTACCTCCATTCGCCAAGATCCCCATTCTAGACCTCATCTGCCTCACAGTAGCTGTGTGACCAGAACAAGCTCCACAGCCCCAATGAGCCTCAGCTTCCCTATCTATAAAATGAGGAAATACTATGAAGACAGTTAGTGCAAGGCTCAGAGTAAGAAGGGAACTTGAATGCACAAGACTTCTTTGACCCTGCAACCTGCAAAGTGAAGACAGTAATTCCTACTTCACATCGCATCAGATGAGACTGGGAAATACATGTACAGATGTATCTATATGTTGTCTAGATCTAGACTAAAAAAATAGGTACTGGTACTCTTGAAAAAAACCTGAATTCTTCCTTTCACGTGCTGTTGAATGGAACTTGGAAGTTTATACTTACTATTGAGGAAAGCTAGTGAAATACTACGTTTTAGCTTTCTCTTTGAAAACAATCTCTGAACTTGAAAATTGAGCTGGAACAATCAATTAGTATAATTTCTACACAAAAAATTATCCTCTGGAGACAAATGAGTCAAGAATTGAGAGATAAATGACCAAAAATAGCCTTGAGGCTCACATGGGACTGACTTCTTTGTCTCCCCGCTCTGAGTGCTCCCATACCACCTGCCAGGAGATCACCTCCACCCCCTGTCCCCGGACCCCCGCGCTGAGGCCTCACACTGGACAATACTTAAACTGACCTCTGTGGTGTCATGGACCTGAGCACTAGACATGCAGCAGAAGCTCCACGTGGGAGGAGGGACAGGGAGATGAACCCTGACGCTCCTGTGCAGTGTGAGAAATTACGATAAGGATTAGAAGCATCTGGAAGAGCGTGATTAGTGTCCTCCAAGAGAGCTGAGTCTGGGTCCAGGAGAGGACCAGGAACATGGGTGCTATCTCTGGATGTCTGGGTCTGAAATACGGCTCCAAACTCTGCCATTTAACATCTGTGTGATGTCGGGAGAGCCACCTCATCTTGCTGGGCCTTGATTTCTTCCTCTGTAAAATGGAAGCTCTATTTTTTTATTTTTTTATTTTTTTTTTGTATAACCACACTAGTTGTTTAGGAGGCTCAGCTGAGAAAGCGTTAAAAGCCTTTATGGATATATGCCGAAACCGGTTTGGCTCAGTGGATAGGGCGTCGGCCTGCGGACTGAAAGGTCCCGGGGCTCGATTTCGGTGAAGGGCATGTACCTTGGTTGCGGGCACATCCCCAGTAGGGGGTGTGCAAGAGGCAGCTGGTCGATGTTTCTCTCTAGAGACGTTTCTAACTCTCTATCCCTTTCAATTCCTCTCTATGTAAAATCAATAAAATATATTAAAAATAAATAAATAAAAGCCTTTATGGATATAAAGCAATGCCTAGGTGTGAGCCTCCATTACTATGTCAGGGACACAGACTTGGGGCAGTGCTAGCTAACAACGGAGCCCAGGTCTTGAGTACTTCCTTTCTGGCATTGTCTGTAGGTGCTTCATGTTCACGACCCCACTTCGCGCTGGCAGCAGACTCCGAGGGGAGCTGCTATTATTAGGTCCATGTATATCGAGTGGGGAAACTAAGGTCTAGAGAGGCTAACTAGCTTGCCCAAGGTTGCACAGCTAGTTAGCCACGGCA